TCAAAGCTGCTTTTTCCCATAATAGGGCTTTTCACACTGCTCTTAACCCTGGGTTATTGTCGTTCTAAACCCCGCTTTTAATCCAAGGTAGAGAAACGTTGCACACTTGTAATTTAACCTGAGGTTATGAAACCCTGTATTGCAATGCCAAACATTTTCAAAAATGTCAAATGGTGACTGCTAATGCATCAATTAGAGTTTAATTCTTGCTTTTATAGTTTGAAAAATCCATTCAGGAAAAACATGATATGCAAATAAGACCGTTAACCCAGGGTTTAGAAATGTACAGTGTGACTTGTCAGTATATGAATACCCAGGATTAATTGTTAACCCGGGTAAATAATGACAGGTATGATGAAATGTGATGCAAGATGACTTAGGATTCTGTTCATTCGGGGTTTAGAATGACCCAGGGTGTGAAAAGCCCTAATGAAAGTGAATGGTGAATAAAGGCTGTTAACAAAAAGTGCTATAAAAGCAGCATAAAATATGATTCACATCCTATATTACACAATCTGTCAAATATCTCCTTTAGTGGTATATTAAAGAAATAAAATCATATGGGGTTGGAACGACAATGAGAGTGAGAAAATGATGGAAATATATTCATTTTTGAATAAACTATTCCTTTAAATCCTTCGATTTAACTTGTCTGAATGGTGACAGACAAACTTGTGGAGTGTGACAAGCATGAATGGTGCACTCTGGGATCAAGGAGTTCAGAATCAGTCTGTGTCGCATGTCTCAGACTTTGTGACACTAATGAATAGATTTTGTGAGCTTTGCTTCAGTTTTGGTCCTGAAAGGTCAACTGGGGGATTATTCTTTAGCCAGATATTTTTGAAGGGATTTTTTTTTTTTTTTTTAAACTGAACATGGAAGAAATGCCATGTCAAGAATAGATCCTACTGTTGTGTTGCGTCTGTATTATTACAGGTTCACTTTTTGCCAGTTCAAGCTGACCTTTGTTAGTGTTGTTTTTCATTGCTACTCAACAAATAACCTTTAATAGAGACATTCTAAACAATTTTATTAAAGGTAACTTTTTGCCATCCAGCGGTTAAAAAACGAAACTGCATGCATTTTGCAGAAGAACATTGTTTGGTTGTTCTTTGGCTCTGGTTCTTTCTCATAACTAAAAAGAGAGACAGATTATCCTACTGATCATAAAACATTCACTAGGCTTATGAGATATAAGCAGTTTAGATAGAAAGGATCTCAAGCTCACTATAGCTGAAAACCTGCGATACCCTTTACTATACATGGTACTTCCTTGAAAACAAATCCCAGCACAGTGCTACAACAACCATAATGAAATGAGTCTTCACAATAGATAATGCTTTACAATGAACTTTGTTAGAAAGCTATATGACAATTTATTTGTTCAAAAAACGTACCTTACTCTGTCGAGTAATAAAAATGCATCGCTTTTACAACATTTCAAATCCTTCAGTTCTCGCCATCTCTGAAAAATCAAGCCAATGTTGATTCTCATTTTATTATGAGCTCTATCACATTCTTTTTTTGCCAGCAGAGTCTGATCCAAAATTATATTTATAATACTACTTATACTACTACTAATAATAATTGTGTATAATTATTTAATTTCATACCCAACAAACAGTACTGTCACTGAATGAATCAGTGTTTTTGAATGAATTGTTTGAGTGTTTCAAAGACTCAAAGTCATAAACAGTCCAAACATTGTTCTATTCCTGCATAGATCATTGTTTTGGAACAAATAAGTTAAGTGAATGATTTATTGACTCGCTCATGTAGACAGACACTTGTTTTGTTCCTTGTATGAATCCGTGTACGCTTGTATCCGTGTTTTGAACCCATCAGTTGAATGAAAGAGTCCATGACTCAATCATAAAGACAGTCACTTGTCACCACTTACGTACCGTGCCGAAAGACTCAATAAAAAATCCCACCATTTACGCACAGATTGAAAGGAATTTTATCAGATTTGTAGTGTGTTTCATTTTAACTATAGTTCCACACACAGTTTAATAATAACAGAGTATAAAATCTAAACTATGCTAATTTGTTCAGTTCGTCTGCAACAGCTCTAGGTTTAGCCTATTGTTTAAAAAGAAAGTTAAAGAGCTATTTTTCTCCTCTTATACTGGGGCATGTCGAAAATTAAGTTAAGGGACCAGTGATTGCAAAACATACACACTATTTCAGTGATAGACGCACAAATATGTGCGGAAGTCACTTTTATTGAGTCTGCATTTGACAAATTGATAGTTTAACGTTAGACACTGCAGACGGGGACATTGAACATCAGGTGACAGTACGAAAGTGAGCGCGCTTGAATAGTTTTGAGTGACTCTAAATGCCAACCGGTGATTGAGCGTTGGATTTTTCCAGCTATACCAGCTGTATTAACTCGTCGTCTCCCTCAACATAATTTGCATAACCATGCGGAATAATAATTGACATTTTCAACATAGCTTCTCTCAAACTGAAGTGATTTTAGCCCTCATTCCAATGCATCTAGCTGAATTAATGTTATCCAGCAGGAATGGCTCAACCGGAGTAACATTTTTGATTGAAAAGCTAAAGCGAAATGTGTTTACCTTGAAGACAGTGGCAGCCTCCTCTAACACAGTTACTGACTCCGATATGATCGCAAAGTCTGCAGTTGCCAGAGATTTAGTTGTTGAAATAGTATGTTAATGTCCTAGTTTTCTGGCCCAAATTGCTTTCGACCTTGAGGTTAAATATGGACATTTGCAGTGCACATATATAAGTATCTTGCCATTTGATAAGAAATTAAGAGATAATGAGCAAGATATGATATGCCAGAGTGCATTTAGACTAGAGGTGTCATACCACACTAATATACTTTGAAATAGTTCCATTCTCACATAGCTGGGTTATTACTACTATTTAACAGTAATTTTTAAGTCACAACTGCAAGATGTGGTACTATGTTTATCCAGTTGATTGGCATTTAAAATATATATAGGAAACTAAATAAAATTCACAATGTAAATTCTGATTGGATCAGCCATATTCAAACTATAATGACTGTAAAATGACTATAAATACACGCACATGTGACTGTATATTCTATATTAATGTGGCAATTTACTACGTTCCAAATTGTGTTACATTATTTAAAGGGTTGCTGGCCATTTTGGCAAGAAGAAAAAGAAAATGGTCAGTAATTTGGATTGGCAGATGGATAGCTGGATAAATATAGATGGATAGGTAATTCTAAATAATTGCAGCCTTTGCAACTAACAGAACCCCAGCACAAGGCAGACAGGAGTTAATCAAAAGTGACTGTAGTTATATCGCAAACAGCCTACGTGACCCACTTCGTGCCATATCTGTCTCTGTAAGACAACAGTAGATTCACATTTGTTTCTTTCTGTGGCTTCTTTCTGTTTCCATTCCTTCATGGTGATATTTATGTCTGTTTATATTAGTGGTGTTCACTGAGCAAAAATAACTGTGTAGAAATAGTCACTGTGCAAGACCTTTTGCTTACAGCTGAATATGCACATAATGGCGTAAGATCATCAATTGACCTGCATTGAAATGCTAACTATACAGTTATAACGTAGATATGAACTCATCATGACCCATTCAGAACAAAAACAGTGAAATGAAACATTCTTTCATCAGCCCACCCAAAGCTATATGGGATTGAACACAACTGAGCTTCCTCCAGAAAAACAAAAAACAGAAAAACAATTAAACAAAGAAAGATAATTGGTGCATTGCGTCTACAATGGGGATACGAATATTCTTATGGTTGGATTTTCCACATTTTTGCTAAATCAATCAGTTCAGGTGTTAAGGATCAGTAGACTTCTGTTGTTTTCCCCCTTCCCAGAATTATCATTAAATCAAGGGTATCATTTTCAACACATTACACTGAGGCATGGATTCACAGTACTAATTAGCTAAACTGATCTACAATTTGCTTAGGTCAGCCGGGTTTTAATTAAAACCAGTTGAATCAAACAAGCTTTTCGAGCACCAGTTAACATCAGAAGGAAGATATATATATTTTAATTAAATCTTATCACATGCCACACTTTCACTTGGCATGTTCATCATCATCATCATTTTAATGCAACGATCTCTGTTGAATGGTCAAATAACTCTTTTCCACCAATAAACCCCCTTTAACCCTTTCTCTCCCCGTTTATTTTGCTGTAATGAATCTACCATCAATGTAAACATAAACTAGTTTAGGTGGAGTGATTCATTTAGGATTAGTGAAAGACTGTGATGAACATGAGAATGATAATCCAGGATAAATCGCACACCACATAAACATATTTGGATACTGATCACTGTAATCTCTTATGAATGAAGTGTAATGGAAATATGCAAATAAGGCTAAATATGATGTCTTTAACAATTGAAATGTTGAAATGTTGCTGAAAATGATGTTTACCATAGGTCTGATTGCACAATCACATATTAAAACATGATTAAAATTTTTGGCTGATGTTGTATGCAGTACTAATCTGCCGATAAAAAAAAAAAAAGAAATATATATATATAAACATCTTAAAGCAGCCTAAGGTGGTTATCAGTTCTAAAAAAGCCAGGCTGGTCTGTTTGCTGGTTTTACAGGGGTTTTGGAGGGACACTTTTCATGTTGTCTTGGTGGGAGACAGGCTTTCTGACCATCTAAACCAGCTAAAAAACAATTTAGTAGCCTATGGTGTGTGGTATAGGCCTATATGAAATATATAACATGAATAATTTGAAAAAGCACAGGATGTTTGGTAGTTATATATCAGGACTAGCCTATATATCTTTAATGTAAGGAAATGCTGCTTAAAAAAAACGGTACGTTTTTTAAATTGTACGTCAATACCATTATGATAGATAGATAGATAGATAGATAGATAGATAGATAGATAGATAGATAGATAGATAGATAGATAGATAGATAGATAAAGTAAATATTTTCCTCATGCTCTGTGTTGACCTCAGCGCGTGCCGTGCACTGTCTGTCTTCTCCGCATGCGTTCACCCGAGTTCAGCTCTAGTTAGGGAGAGACAGGAACTGATGTGCAGTCAGTTTCCTCACCTATCCGAGCGCGAGAGCACCACAGACCGCGCGTCGAGCGCGTTCTCTCTGTTTCCAGGGGTGTTTCTGCCTTTTCCCACACAGCACACACACAGTCAACCCCGGAGCTGTTTACGCACTGAACATCCACTCGCAGTTGCGATCAGTTTGTGCGGGTCCTATTAAAGTGATTTTGAAAACGACAAGGATCAGAACGAGGCTGAAGCATCTTTAAGAGCGCGCGCATCTCCCTGAGAGCGCGAGCAACATATGTGCTGCCTCTGAAGACTCGGTATAGCACCTCTGTGTGTCTGAAAAACGCTTGAAAAAACGTTTCACCCGAACGCTGAAAACTTTAAAGGAATATTTATGAGCATTTGAGTGGATTTTCTGTCAGTAACACTAAGTAATACTCGTACTTTTGGAGATATTTAACGGACGGAATACGAAGTGAACGCTGCGTTCCGAGGGGATTGCATTTACGCTCCTTCAGTTATACGGTTCTTCTGTGCGGACGGAAGTTTCTGAGTTTTCTGACGAAAAATGGGCATAACTGGTTATTTTGAGCTGCAGTGGAAATGCCTGGTTATTGTGGCTCTAAGACTGCTGTTCCTTGTGCCCGCAGGAGTGCCAGCGAGAAGCGGAGACTCTTATTTAAAGGACAACATCACTGTCAGACAGGGAGACAGTGCTGTCTTGAAGTAAGTCAATGATTATATAATTTATTTACATTATGAGAAGTGTATGTTTCATGTTGTTCCTTTTCAAATTACATGCTTTTTGGATCGTCTTGCAAATACACGATTGTTAATTTGTGTAATCAATGATGTGATTAGAAGGTTAAACTTCAAGCATTCCAGTTTCAAATTAGTAACAGCTTTAAGTTTTCGTCTTTACTTTTTATTGAAATATAAATATTGTTATTAATCTGGCTGTGTTTGCACAGCTAATTATTATTTTTTTCTGCTGGAGTTGTTTTGGGAATCCGTGGTGAGATGCGATCTGTCTGGTAATGCAATCAGCATGCAGTCTCGTCTATGCAATCAGTTTTGGTGGCCTATTTAGATAAGTAGTTCATCAACAAATAAACATTTACTTCGACTCAATTCTCTATCCCCTCTCTTTCAGTGATTCTCGCTCATCCCTGCTTTTTCATCCCCCCTTCCTCTCTGTCTCAGTCACACACACTCATTTGTGGACGCCCACATGCACTTACAGTAGCATCATTGTTTTCTTACTTTTCCTCTAATGCTTATTCTGGGAAGTTATATAAACGTGGGTGAACAGGCAGTCGTTATTCCTGCAGGGGGAATTGGAGTAAAGTAGCCTATGTCTCTCCTTCGTTTTCGCCTTTGCTCTGCGCGTGGTACCAGACGCAGCAGGGAACGTTTTGAGTAGCATGAGACAGTGGCCTGTGCGCGTGTCCTTTGGCTCCAGAACCTCTTTCCAAAAGAACGTTTGGAACAAAGCTGCAAAACAACACTTACTGATGACGTCAAAACTCCGTCGATCTGTATAGATCATTATAGGGAAGTTTGATGCATGAATAAACCTCTTGAATAAAGAGTCATTCATGTGCAGAATCTCCCTTGTTTTATGCTAAATATGCATAAATGCATGTTGGGAATAGGGATAGATAGCTAGATAGATAGCTAGATAGATAGCTAGATAGATAGATAGATAGATAGATAGATAGATAGATAGATAGATAGATAGATAGATAGATAGATAGATAGATAGATGCACAATTCTGGATAAATTGAGAATCACCATTTTTTTTGTATAAAATAAAGATCACTATTGGGGCAGTCTATTTAAAAAGGATCACATTAATTAGAATGAATTCTTTTTTTAATGATTGATTCAATGACTCACCCAGAAAGACTTGCTTCATTACTGGATGAATCTTTTTTTTTTAATTTTTTTTTTTTTTACAAATTTCTTGAATGAATGGTTCAATGACAAATACATTGGCTGCTTCTGAATGCCACTTGACTTGTTGCCTCACTGCTCTATCAGGCAATGACTTTTGTAGGCAGTGTTAGCGCTCAAAGGTACCTCACAAAACTGATTTTGGATAGGCTTTTGAGTCAGCATAATGGTTTAAAGATCTACAACAAAATAGAGAGAGCTTTGGTGATAGATATGCGAATATTTAATTACTACAATAGTAATTTCTTGCTAGAAATGACATCAAAAGTGGAAAACACTGGTCAAAAACATACATTTACACACAAACTGACCATCAACCGCAACTTCAGTCAAACGCCATCTTTATAGTTTAGTTTCATAGAATGGAACACAGGATTGTGGGATATCAAAGGTAGCGAAGGATACATCTATGCTGCCTTTAAAAATTCGATGCCTTCATACCTTAGTTGGAACGCATCGTCTGAAGGCAAAATTTTTAAGCTTTCAGGCACAGCCATTTTTAAACAGTCACTTCTTGCTACAGTACTTACTGGCGTAGCGATGTAATTGTTACAATCTTTATTTGAATTGTCAAGTTACTTTCAATAGGTGATTTACTCTACTTTGATCGCTACCATAGACATCAGTGTTTATATCTGAACCATAAACCTTTATTCCAGTACTTATGTGATATTTGAATTAGCAACGCAGATTTGAATGTTTCACTGTGATCGTACTTGTCAAAGGTTAAATAGAGATCTGGGCAAATTGTTGTCATTTAGAAATAAGAACATGGGTGTTTAAATCGACATTGCGAACTTTTAATGATTAACCGTGCAGCTCTAATAAATAAATGTATATGTATGTATGAATGGATAGAGGGATTGCATGTCTGATTGACACTTTATTCCACCAATCAAAAGGTGAAATAGGAAATATAGTGGATGAGAACTTCATAAACCTCCATATGTGTGTAAAGAGGAACTAAGCGTTGCTCATTTATTCGTTTAGTCTTTCCATTGTTGGCTGAAATGTTTGGTGTTGGGCTAAATTATAAAAATACTTGTGGTTTAATAAACCTGTTGATAACCCTTAATTTTCTTGAGGAAACAAAGACTGAAATGTAATAATTGCTTGTGGATAAAAGTAGTTAATAATAGGATGCCGTTACTCTTACTGACATCAACATCAACATCTCACTGTCAACTGTTAATAACAAACAAGCCACATATTTGTCAGAAGGTACGCAAGTTATTAATTTCGTTAGCAATATTGAATGCTGCAAGTGTTGACTTTTGACTTTCCGATCTGTGAACTGTGTTAGAATCATGTCTAAAAGACACAAGAGAATCTCTGGACCTCATTTCTTAGTCCTTTTTTTCCACTTGAAGTCCTTCCACTTGAGAATTAAATGTGTCATACCATCTGTCAACCCAGAGTGCTGCTTTACCCCCTCCCTCTCTCTTAATTTAGCCATTCAAATACATTTATATTTTCTCAGCTATGTGGCACACTTTGTTTTGGTTCTTCCACTTTTTATTCACATTTGCATTAAGCTCAGACATGAACAATCTCCTTGTAAGAACAGGAAATTAGTACATTTCCATATAGCAACATTATATATTTTAAGGTCATGATTGTATTGATGTCTGGCAAAGCACATCTTTTTTGGTACTGATTGCCGCCAGTCATGTATTTTACTTTTGATCATGAGTTCAGCTTCCCCATAATGAAGAACTGTTGAGACAACCTGTCACAAACACTGTCACAGTGATGGCAGAACGCTCTTGCGTGCCCCAACTCCTCTGTAGCACTGATTCAAATGGCGACTGTTGCTGTGTGCCTGTGCACACCTGGAGATGTGTGGTGATTTATCTATCCCCCAAAGAAAAGCCATTTCAACTCAGCCAAAGCAAATGAAGGGTGGCAGACTTTAGCCAAGCCAGAAGCCATGGTTTCTACTTGGAAAAAAAACCTAGACATTTCTAAGGTAGCATTTTTCCTCTTTTGTTTTTGAAGGAAAAACACAACATTGTGGCAGAGCCTGTTCACTCTAACCACATGTGAAAGGTTGTCACTTTTTTGATGCACTGAAAAAAAAAAAAAGTCTGACTTATCGGTGTAGTGTGAAGCTGTAAGCTGTTGCATTCTGATAGTGTTTTAAAAATACATAAGCAGTGGTAGATTGATTGACAATGTATTGATGTCAACAAATTATTTGAATACCAACTGATGACACTTACATTTTTATTGTTGTTGTTGGCTTGATGAATATTAAGTGAGTAATTAATAGAAGTAATGAGCTTATTCATCATCTTGTGGCAAAAGATCCATCCATCCATCCATCCATCCATCCATCCATCCATCCATCCATCCATCCATCCATCCACCATCCATCCACAATCTATCTATCTATCTATCTCACATTTGGGAAAGCTGAAAGCAAACCTTCTCTAGTAAATGTTAAGGTATAGCCATTATAACAAAGTAGATTGATTCAAACAAAAATATGGATAATCTACTTTTTCAGATTATTTAATGTGGTTTCCAATATCTCTGTGTTGTCACAATGAGCAATATGTACAATGAAAAACAGGTTGTTTACCCTGATCTCTCCAGTGACACATCCAAGCAGTTTAATGGTATTTCTAGGTTTTATTTATAAACAACCAATTATGTTCATCCCCAGGAAACACTTTTATGACCGTAAAAATAATGTTAATGCCAGTGTAGGAGTTATTTGTTTGTACTTTATTAAAAGAGAGGAAAAAGAGCTGTCAATCAGAGAATCCTAAGTCAAGAATTCAATATCACTCTTATTAGTAAACTCATTGATCATAACCTGAGGTGTTTGGCTACCAGAGAAGCTTAATTGCCTGTCCTTTCTTATTCAGTTTATTAAACCTCTGGTTTGATTAAATCAAATAGAGTAACAAGCACCCACACACAAGGAAAGTGGCCACAAAAAAAACTACCTCTAGTAAATAAACAATTGTATATTAGAGAATTGTATATCTCTAACTGCTGTAAAATGTAAAAGCCCTGAACAAGTACCAGCACCACTGATGGGTATCAAACAAAGCACTACAACATGTTATTAATTGAAATGAGGGTCCTTCTCTGAAGCAAGCTGGAGGATGAAGTCTTAAGTGGACGCCCCCTGACCCGACTGTCAAAGTGACAGATGGTTGAAAGCTTCTCACAATGGTGATCTTCCTTATCAACATTACAGCACTAGGGATTTCAGCATAGTGTTTCTAGCAAATACACAACAGTCGCTTCACACAGTTAGCTTATATTATTTCGAACAGGAACATTTTGATATGATTGTGCTGAATTGAAACTGTTGTAGACAGTGGGAAGGTTGATGGTTCGTTAGTGGTGTTTTCTGTTTGTACTTCATGTAATTTTTGCCTGGGTCAGTAATTTTGTGGAACAACACTCTTCATAATGGCACTTGAACTCAAGTATTTGTTTTAATCTGCAGGGTATTTTAAAGACTAGTTCACCCAAAAAGAAAAAAAAAATTCGGTCATCATTTACGTACCCTCATGTTCCAAACCTTTATGAATTTATTATGACTGTGAATAACTGTGTAAAAAGTGAATATAGCGTCTAAAGCATTACTGGGCCCTATTTATTTAAATTGTATAAATGCTGAGACATTCTTCAAAATATCTTCTTTTTTTGTACTGCATAAGAAATAAAATCATACAGGTTTCATGCAACATGACGGTGAGTTTTTAATTTTTGGGGGAACCTCTTTTACATAAAGTGCACAAATCACAAT